CGAGGATTCGAACCTACGTCTGGGAGCATCCCAGACACTGCCTTAATCGACTGAGCTACGACAGGTTTAAAAAGAGTTGAAACCGAAGTTCTTCTAAACTTACTGAATCCCGTAGCGTCTCCGAGGCACAAACCAGGATTTTACACAACTCCCCCCTGCACCCGAGCTTGCCCTTGTGGATTTGTTCATTTTATCCATCACGTTAGTGTGATCTGTGTGTGTGCAATGAACTTCTTTGTTCTCCATAAAATTTTGAAAGTTGATTCCAAATCTGTCTTTCAAAAACTTTGTGTGATGTAATTGGTGGAAAATGATACGTCCTTGGAAAAACAAACCGAAACTGTCTCTATTTTCTGCTTGTTACAACTTGTAATAAAGTTGTTACATCTTGGCTTAACGTGTTTATGACGTATTAGAACGTTGTTACAACTTGCTATATTGGTTGTTATAACTGGTTAGGTGGTGTTAAAACATGTTCGAACGTTGTACCAACGTCGTAGTTTCGGTGTGTGTGTTTGGCGGAAGGAGAGTCGGTCTATAATTTTCAGCCGAATTATAGTGTCTCTCGACACTATAGACGACACGTGTCGTCTATAGTGTCGACAAGACGACACGCTGTGTCGTCTCTCCTGCTCTTTTTAAATACTTGTGGCGGCTATCCTGTCCGGACATACTCCCTTCTGTCCAGTCATAACGGACATAACTGAAACCGGAGAGAGTTCAATTAGGACATCCCCCCCCCCTCTTGCCGGAACTACCCGAGGGCCACCCCTGAGGGTCGTTACAGGAGGTTATTAATTATTGCCTTTGATGAATGCCATAGTATAACTCTTAATGTTCCTTGTCCTCTCTCCTAATATGTTCCATTTTCTACGGAATCGATCAGTCTGTTAAAAGTAGAACTTGGTACGTAAAAATTAAAGCACTGTAATGTTGACGTTTTCTGTGCATCGGCCTCGATAGGTTAGGTGGGTTGCTTGGGGTCGTACGTTTCTGGTTAGGTAAAAACTGTGGTATTTTTGACGGAGTGGCCAGTGGAGAGAGCGGGCCGGCGTGGGGCGGGACACCTGCCGTGGTGTGAGGCACCGGGAAGTGGCGTCAAGCGGCGTCAGGCGGCGTCAAACGTTAGGTGTCAAGTGTCAGGCGGCGTCAGGAGGCGTCAGGAGGCGTCAGGCGTCGTCAGGAGGCGTCAGGCGTCGTCAGGCGGCGTCAAACGTTAGGTGTCAAGCGTTAGGCGTCGTCAAGAGGCGTCAAGCGGCGTCAAGAGTCTCGACATTACTATTTTTCCCGAGGATTAAAGACGCCCAATTACCATGATATTTGTTATGGTGGGAAGGCCCATTTTAGTGTGTGTCATGGTTGTGTTGAGTGATGTTGTTGTGGCGCACATGATATTGTGGATGTAAATACAACATGTATTAGAGTGGTCCAGAAATACGCACGTTCTATCCACCGGTAAATACAGGGATTAAAAGAAAAGTTAGTTTTTTGGTTTAGCACAGGTGGGGCACAAGAGGGCACAGGTGGGGCACAATGGGGCACAGGTGGGGCACAATGGGGCACAAGTGGGGCACAAGAGGGCACAGGTGGGGCACAAGAGGGCACAGGTGGGGCACAAGAGGGCACAGGTGGGGCACAAGAGGGCACAGGTGGGGCACAAGAGGGCACAGGTGGTCACAAGAGGGCACAGGTGGGCACAAGAGGGCACAAGAGGGCACAAGAGGTCACAAGAGGGTACAGGAGGGGCACAGGAGGGCACAAGAGGGCACAGGAGCAGACGACTTGTCTCCTGTTAGCAGGCTGGGGGGGGGGGCTTCATAAACCTATCCTCCTCCCCCAAGAGGAGTTAATATTATTGACTCGACCTTTAATATTATCATTAATACAGAATGTGGCCTTGTCTGTGCAAGTCCATATAGGAGCTATAGATACTATACCAGTTTGGAGGACGGATTGGACCCTACGTGTGGGGAGATCTTTCAGCAAGATTATCATATACCTGACAAGCGAAACCCACACTCGCACCCCCACGACTGTGAGAAACTATGGGATTCGAATTTGTGGGGAAAAAGGAGGATTCGAACCTGGTCGCTTGGTACTCGCAATGATTTTCTCATTTATACATCACGTTAATTCTTGGTGCTTTATAGCCAAACTATAAGGGCATTTATATGTTCGGAACTTAACAAAAATATTATATTTGATACTGTAGGATATTAAGACTTATGTCCGTCCGTATACTGCCACGCCAATCATCTGTCCGCCCACGCCTGTCTTTCCGCCCATTTATCTGCTCGAATATCCGCTCCTGAGTCTTTCCGTCCGCGTGTTCCCAACACAGAACCGCTGTCTGTGGTCGGCAGGACGCTGTCTCCGGCGACGGTTCCCGTTCTCCTGCGACGGCCCCGTTCTCCGGCGACGGCCCCGTTCTCCGGCGACGGCCCCGTTCTCCGGCGACGGCCCCGTTCTCCGGCGACGGTTCCCGTTTTCCGGCGACGGCCCCCGTTCTCCTGCGACGGCCCCGTTCTCCTGCGACGGCCCCGTTCTCCGGCGACGGCCCCGTTCTCCGGCGACGGCCCCGTTCTCCGGCGACGGTTCCCGTTTTCCGGCGACGGCCCCCGTTCTCCGGCGACGGCCCCGTTCTCCGGCGACGGCCCCGTTCTCCGGCGACGGCCCCGTTCTCCTGCGACGGCCCCGTTCTCCTGCGACGGCCCCGTTCTCCGGCGACGGCCCCGTTCTCCGGCGACGGCCCCGTTCTCCGGCGACGGCCCCGTTCTCCGGCGACGGCCTCGTTCTCCGGCGACGGCCCCGTTCTCCGGCGACGGCCCCGTTCTCCGGCGACGGCCCCGTTCTCCGGCGACGGCCCCGTTCTCCGGCGACGGCCTCGTTCTCCGGCGACGGCCTCGTTCTCCGGCGACGGCCCCCGTTCTCCGGCGGCGGCCCCGTTCTCCGGCGACGGGCCCCGTTCTCCGACGGCGGCCCCGTTCTCTGGCGACGGCCCCCGTTCTCCGGCGGCGGCCCCCGTTCTCCGGCGGCGGCCCCCGTTCTCCGGCGGCGGCCCCCGTTCTCCGGCGACGGCCCCCGTTCTCCGGCGGCGGCCCCGTTCTCCGGCGACGGCCCCGTTCTCCGGCGACGGCCCCGTTCTCCGGCGACGGCCCCGTTCTCCGGCGACGGCCCCCGTTCTCCGGCGACGGCCCCGTTCTCCGGCGACGGCCCCGTTCTCCGGCGACGGCCCCCGTTCTCCGGCGACGGCCCCCGTTCTCCGGCGACGGCCCCCGTTCTCCGGCGACGGCCCCCGTTCTCCGGCGACGGCCTCGTTCTCCGGCGACGGCCCCCGTTCTCCGGCGACGGCCCCGTTCTCCGGCGACGGCCTCGTTCTCCGGCGACCGCCCCGTTCTCCGGCGACGGCCCCCGTTCTCCGGCGACGGTCCCCGATCTCCGGCGACGGCCCCCGTTCTCCGGCGACGGCCCCGTTCTCCGGCGACGGCCTCGTTCTCCGGCGACCGCCCCGTTCTCCGGCGACGGCCTCGTTCTCCGGCGACCGCCCCGTTCTCCGGCGACGGCCTCGTTCTCCGGCGACCGCCCCGTTCTCCGGCGACGGCCCCCGATCTCCGGCGACGGTCCCCGATCTCCGGCGACGGCCCCCGTTCTCCGGCGATGGCCCCCGTTCTCCGGCGACGGCCTCGTTCTCCGGCGACCGCCCCGTTTCCTCGCCGACCCGTGCACGGTCGACGGCGACTCGGACAGTTGTGTGCGACAAGCTCCTTGACGAAGTAATTTTTCCAAGAGTTTATCATATACACAAACATGCGACTATATATAAAAAAAAATATCCTCCGAATTGACAGTCGTTTTAATACTAAGTGTAATAAGTACATTTCCTGACTGTCATACATAGTACATAATTGCACTTATAGGGCTGTTACATTTACCGCCCTATTTTTGGAGGACGGGCTCTCAAAAACACATCGCGAAATAATTATGTAAGGGGGTGTCTAACATGGGCCAGTAGGAGGTGCCTCACATGGGCCAGTAGGAGGTACCCCACATGGGCCAGTAGGCGCTGCCTCATATGGACCAATACGCCATCTGCAGTTGTCTTTAGTAAATGAGTTTTTGCTTCAATATTTACATTGGAAAATGTAAATGACGCGAGGTTTTCTCTCACCAATAATACGCACTGAATATGGAGAACTTTGTTATAGTTTTACACCAGGATTTATTTGGTCTGTTCTGTTGGTAGGTGTTCTCTCTGGAGTGTTAGAACTGTTCTCCAGGTCTTTCTTGGGGGAGAGAAGTTCTTCAAGCCCACATCTAAGGGGAAGACAACTGTTCTCCAAGTTCTCATCTGTTCTTCAAGTTCCTGTCGAGGGCCAGAGAACACTACCATGCGGGGTGGTGTTAAGCACCCCGCTAGCCACAGGGAGTTAATGGAGTAATCACTAACAAGGTGATTGTCGGTCATACGCAAGTGCGTATGTGTGTGTGTGTGTGTGTGTACGTGTATTTACTATTTGTGCCTGCAGAATCGAGCTATTAACTCTTGGATCCCGTTTTTCTACACAATCTATTTTCCCCTGTTATGTCTATTACATATATATTGCTCTTTTAACACACCCTTACACATACTAATACTAACACTAATAAATACTAACATAAATACTAAAAGGAATCGACCTAATTGACAAAGAGGAATTCCTGAAACCAGCAACATCACGAATAAGACTCAGGTTCAAGCTAAGAAAATAAAAATGCCGAAAAATATTAGAAAGTTTTCTTTTGCAAACAGAGTGGAAGATGGTTGGAACAAGTTAGGTGAGAAGGTGGTGGAGGCCAAGACCGTCAGTAGTTTCAAAGCATTATATGACAAAGAGGTACCTTGAGGTTACCTTGAGGTGCTTCCGGGGCTTAGCGTCCCCGCGGCCCGGTCGTCGACCAGGCCTCCTGGTTGCTGGACTGATCAACCAGGCTGTTGGATGCGGCTGCTCGCAGCCTGACGTATGAGTCACAGCCTGGTTGATCGGTATCCTTTGGATACCTGAAGAGTACTGGGAAGACGGGACACCACGAGCCTAACTCTCATCCTGTAACTAAGGTAATTACACTCACACACACACACACACACACACACACACACACACACACACACACACACACACACACACACACACACACACACACACACACACACACATTGGGGCCTGATAGATGAGTGGCCAGCGCTCTGGGCTCGTAATCTTAGGGGCTGGGTTCGATCCCCGGTGATGGCAGAAACAAAATGGGCAGAGTTTCTTTCACCCTGATGCCCCGTTACCTAGCAGTAAACTGGGAGTCAACTGTTACGGGCTGCTTCCTGGGGGGGGGGGGAACAAAAATTAGTAACAGTTGATTGACAGTTGAGAGGCGGGCCCAAAGAGCAGAGCTCAACCCCCGCAAGCACAACTAGGTGAACACACACAAACACAGCTCGCGGCTGAGTGGACAGTGCTCTGAGGTCGTAGTCCTAAGGGACCGGGTTCGATCCCCGGCGGGGTCCGAAACAAACGGGCAGAGTTTCTTTCACTGATGCACCTGTTCACCTAGCTGTATATAGGTATTTGGAAGTTAAGACACCCGCTACGGGCTGCTTCCTGGGGATGTGTGTGTGTGTGTAAGAGGAATATATGTAGTAGACATAATAGAGGGAAAATAAATTGGTTAGAAAGGCGGGGTCCAAGAGCTAATAGCTCGGTTCTCCAGATGCAAATAGTAAACACATGCACACAGAAGCCCCTGTGTGGGTGTGTTTAAAGTCACTGTACACTGTCACTGTGTCACAGTTACTGTGTCACTTACTGTGTCACTGTTACTGTTGGTTGGTATATTTAATACATAAATTTCTACTACAATCACTACAAATGTTAAGCCGCGTCGTACATAACTACCTAACTTAATACAGCCTAACTTAACACCCGTAACCTAACATACCTTGCCTTACCTTGAGGTAACATAGCCTAAACTTACCGAGCCTAACACAGCCTAACCTAATGATATTGATATATATATATATATATATATATATATATATATATATATATATATATATATATATATATATATATATCTCTTTTAACACAAAACTAGTTTTGTTGAGCCGTCTTGTGTAATATCCAATCGAAATGCCATTAATATATATTCTTTCTTAAGGGTTGTTTATAGACAATAGTCATATAGTGGACAGAAGATATTAACTCGGGCAATCGGTTCCCGCCCCAACCACTTGGGGCTGACGGTAGAGCGACGGTCTCGCTTCATACAGGTCGGCGTTCAATCCCCGACCGTCCCAAGTGGTTGGGCACCATTCCTCTTAACCCCCCGTCCCATCCCAAATCCTTATCCTGATCCCTTCCCAGTGCTATATAGTCGTAATGGCTTGGCATTTTCCCCCTGATAGTTGCCTTCGGGCAGTCGTTGACATGTGAGAGAGAGAGAGAGAAAGAGAAAGAGAGAGAGACAGAGAGACAGAGAGAGACAGAGAGAGACAGAGAGAGACAGAGAGAGACAGGGGACACGGATACTGACCGTCACTTTTATCCGTGTCTGGAGCGGAAGACGGTGATCTCTCTGTCTTGGCTGCTGTTGTGCAGCCTCCAGTCTTCTCCCCAGCAGGAGCTGCTGTCTGCCGCTGCTGCTGTTGCTGCTGCTGAAGGCGAGGCTGAGGGGTAGATACATGCTGCTGTGTTTGGAGCTGCGGGAGGCTGTGAAGCTGCTGCTGTTGTTGCTGCTTCTGCAGATGTTGCTGTGCCCCCGAGCAATCCAAGCCTTGCTGCTGCTGCTGCTGCAGCGGTGGTGTGTGGTGCTGCTGGAGGTGCTGGTGCTGCTGCTGGTGGTGGTGGTGATGGTGGTGGTACAAGTGTGGGGTTTGCAAGTGGTGCAGCGCCGATAGTTCCTGCGGCAGATGGCCCTCGTGTAGGCCAGAGGCGGACAGGTCGTGGGTAAAGGCCGCAGCGGCGGCGGCCGCCTGCGGCAGTCTCACCAACTCCGGCAAATCGAGCAGATGACTGACGGTGAATCGTTTGTGCTCACCTGGCGAGCCAGGCGCCTGCACCTTGTCCAGGTAGCCCACCTCGCCGTTACTCATCCCTCCCACGTTGTAACTCATCATTGTCACTCACTACACACTCGCCAGGAACTCACGCGCCGCCGCCAACACCACGTAACGGCAAATTGACAGGTGTCGCTCACGTCACCACGTGTTCAAGTCGACACAAACGGGTTTATAACTCAGCTTTACACTCAGATTTACAGACAGGTTTACACTCGGGTTTATAACACAGGTTTACACATCTGTTATCGTCCCAAGAAGTTGCCATTCTACGGTTTTCCTTTCTAGATCTCGATAGGTATTGACGAACTGAGAAGTCATGACGAATTAGTGTGGCACTTTGGTCGTGTGGAGTGGCACTCTAGGTGTGTGGAGCGGCACTCTAGGCCTGTGGAGCGGCACTCTAGGCCTGTGGAGCGGCACTCTAGGCCTGTGGAGCGGCACTCTAGGCCTGTGGAGCGGCACTCTAGGCCTGTGGAGCGGCACTCTAGGCCTGTGGAGCGGCACTCTAGGCCTGTGGAGTGGCACTCTAGGCCCTGGTCACTTATCAAACGGGTCTCTTAACCCAAACTATCATTTTCCCTCATTAGATTTCCCCGTTTCAACTTTCATTTCCGAGTTGTGAGGTGAGAGCGGGAGTGTATGAGGAGTCCCCGAGGTTGGCACTGCTGGCGGTGCCACTGTCAATTACCGTGAGCGGCGGGGCGGCTGTCGTACTAGCAGTTCGCCAGTGCCAGGAGTAATTCCCGTGCCTGCGGCACCCAAGAATGTGTCAACTATTCTTCCGCGCGTTGATTTAAGAATGTCGCGGACCGCGCGAAGGCTCGCGACGTTGTGGTGACTGGCTTTGGTCGCGATGGGACCAAACCTTAAACACAGTTATCTGACTGGCACTATATGATGGTATACTTGGGGAGAGCGTCGGCCCGTAGCCAGCAGAAGGTGGCACTTACTGACGTTCTTAATGGCACTCCACCCACCCACTCCTGGCCCCACCCACAAGTGCCCAGTGGGCGGAGTCTTCTCCACCCCCTTCGTAGGCTACCCACACCCCCCTTATCACTCCGTTTGGGTATCGTTTAACCTTTTAACAGTCACTGTCCTTTAAATATGGAGTCGTTCAGTGCTCACAATCTATTGATTTGAATAGATCCAATAGAATAGATGATTGTTGTGTCTCGTAGGCCGACCGGCGGGAAAGGGATCACCCCGCCGGCCTCTCCTATTGGCTGGCCGCTCCGCTAGCCCCGCCCACACCCGCTCTCAACACCTCCCGAAGCCACGCCCCCCCCCCCCCCCCCACACACACACACACACACACACACACACACACACACACACACACACACACACACACACACACACACACACACACCAATGTGTATACTTAAGTCACCTTAAAGTAAGCATCACACAAGGGGACTGAATGAGGGGTTGTGAGGTGAGGGGACTGGACCAGGGGATGTGAGGTGAGGGGACTAGACAAGGGGTTGTCATGTGAGGGGACTGGATGAGGGGTTGTCAGGTGAAGGGACTGGATGAGGGGTTGTCAGGTGAGGGGACTGGATGAGGGGTTGTCAGGTGAGGGGACTGGATGAGGGGTTGTCAGGTGAGGGGACTGGATGAGGGGTTGTCAGGTGAAGGGACTGGACCAGGGGTTGTCAGGTGAGGGGACTGGATGAGGGGTTGTCAGGTGAGGGGACTGGATGAGGGGTTGTCAGGTGAGGGGACTGGATGAGGGGTTGTCAGGTGAGGGGACTGGATGAGGGGTTGTCAGGTGAGGGGACTGGATGAGGGGTTGTCAGGTGAGGGGACTGGATGAGGGGTTGTCAGGTGAGGGGACTGGATGAGGGGTTGTCAGGTGAGGGGACTGGATGAGGGGTTGTCAGGTGAGGGGACTGGATGAGGGGTTGTCAGGTGAGGGGACTGGATGAGGGGTTGTCAGGTGAGGGGTTGTCAGGTGAGGGGTTGTCAGGTGAGGGGACTGGATGAGGGGTTGTCAGGTAAGGGGACTGGACCAGGGGTTGTCAGGTGAGGGGACTGGATGAGGGGTTGTCAGGTGAGGGGACTGGATGAGGGGTTGTCAGGTGAGGGGACTGGATGAGGGGTTGTCAGGTGAGGGGACAAGATAAGGAAATAATAAGAGAAATGGAGGGAAGTGGAATAATGAAGAGGATGCAAATAGGTGAAGGTAAGGGAGTGGGGGTGAGGGGAATGGTGGAAGGGGGGGGTGAGGGGGAGAGGGGAGAGGGGGTAATGAGAGGTGAGAGCGGGCCACCCAACTCGCTGGCACTATCATATAACTGCATTTTACAATGGCACTGTCAACCAGGATGAAACACCCCTTGTACACTCATTATCACACGCCCCTAACTACCTCCACACACACACACACACACACACACACACACACACACACACACACACACACACACACACACACACACACAATGTAGATATGATAGAGCCCAATAGGCTCAGGAATCTGTACACCAGTTGATTGACGGTTGAGAGGCGGGACCAAAGAGCCAGAGCTCAACCCCCGCAAGCACAACTAGGTGAGTACAATTAGGTGAGTACACAGCCATGTATACCAGCCCAATAATCAAGAATGTGTACCATTACCCTTGACAACCTGAAACTAGATTAGAGACTACCTCTCTGATTTGAAACAAAGGGTCACTGTGAGAGACCTCAGAGAGGAAGCTCACAATGGCGCCCTACAAAGGCCAACACTTGACCCAGTAGGTCCTATACTATTCAAGATTATACATAAATTACAAGAATGACGAAACAGATACATCCATCCCACTGTTTAATTACCCCCCCCCCCCCGCTATTCTCCTCCACCCCTCCTTCATCATCTTTGTCTTCTCATAACAGACTTGGATTTTAAAGAGGGATGCAGTACGACCTAAATTATCTTAAAGTATGGAAACATGGCTATTAGATTTCAACTGGGATAAATGCAAGGTAATGAGACTAGTCATCGTCAGCGGGACATAAGGATAACATTTAGGAACCTGGGGAGTCCTTCAGAATAGGGAGTGTTTAAGGACTGATGGGAACCTAATGAAGTGGAGAGTCCCTAGGGAGTTGAGTCCTTAGAGTGTAGAGTCCTCTGTTGCTTAGAAATGTTTAGTGACGAGTCCTTACGGTGAGTTAAGGTTCCCTTGTGAAGGGTTCTTGACGAATGAAGATCCGTAGTCTTAGGGAAGCGGGTTGTCTTGAACTAGCGAGGGGGTCCTGAGCTAGCGAGCCGTCCTTAGCGGGGGATTATGCTAATTTGTAGCGGAGAGAGCAGCTTGTTAGCGCCCCGAGCTGTCACTTGGTTAGCGGGTCTGGCCTGCTTTCCTCTCTTTCAACCTGCCTCCTGTCTCTGTCTCTCTCTCTCTCGCTGTCTCTCTCTCTCTCTCTCTGTCTCTCTCTCTGTCTCTCTCGCTGTCTCTGTCTCTGTCTCTCTCTCTCTCTCTCTCTGTCTCTCTGTCTCTCTCTCTCTCTGTCTCTCTCTCTCTCTCTCTCTCTCTCTCTCTCTCTCTCTCTCTCTCTCTCTCTCTCTCTCTCTCTCTCTCTCTCTCTCTCTCTGTCTCTCTCTCTCTCTGTCTCTCTCTGTCTCTCTCTCTCTCTCTCTCTCTCTCTCTCTCTCTCTCTCTCTCTCTCTCTCTCTCTCTCTCTCTCTCTCTCTCTCTCTCTCTCTCTCTCTCTCTCTCTCTCTCTCTCTCTCTCTCTCTCTCTCTCTCTCTCTCTCTCTCTCTCTCTCTGTCTCTCTCTGTCTCTCTGTCTCTCTCCTATGAAAATAGAGGAAAATAGGTCGGTTAGAAAGGCGGAGCCAAGCGTAAATAGCGCGATTCTGCAGGCACAAATAGTAAACACACACACACACACACACACACACACACACACACACACACACACACACACACACACACACACACACACACACACACACACACACACACACACCGTAAGTTCAAGAGGCCTGCGGATACCTTTCGGTGACACTATGAAGAGAGTTTGTTATGGAGGGCGGTGACGGTGTGTCAGTAGTGACCCGCCATGACCACAAGGACTCTCTCTTCCCATATCAGCAATATTTGTGCTTGGTGAAGGTATGCAGGAAGACCACGGGGGGGGGAGGGGGGGGGGGGGGAGGGGGTTATTTGAGTACACTTTCCTGGTGCTGTAAACTGCTGGCAGCGTGTATCTTGAGGAGCTTGACAAGATCTGTATGTCCCCGCGGCCCGGTCTCTGATCAGGGGACCAGATTCACGAAGTCCGTTACGCAAGCACTTACGAACGTGTACATCTTTCCTCAATCTTTGACGGCTTTGGTTACATTTATTAAACAGTTTACAAGCATGAAAACTTGCCAATCAACTGTTGTTATTGTTATAAACAGCCTCCTGGTGTTTCGGAGCACATTAACTGTTTATTAATTGTAAACAAAGCCGCCAATTATTGAGAAAAGATGTACAGGTTCGTAAGTGCTGCGTAACTGCTTCGTGAATCTAGCTCCTGGCCTCCTGCTTGACGGTCTAGTCAAGAAATCAAATACCAAAACAAATACTAAAAGCAGACATGCAAATGGCCACGAAGCTAACAATTTGCGGGGAATGACCCCCATAAAGTAGAGAGAGTGAGAGCAACAACAATTAAGTCATCAGAGGTGATGCTACACGACGGGCCCCCTCCTGGCCCTCTCCTGGGGGCCCCTCAGGGCCTGAGGACCGGAGAGACGTCCTGAAGGTGGGCAGGGCCGGCAGCGGCGCCTCTAGTAGGTCCTCTGCCGGGCATGTCACTCCCTCTACATAAATAAACACATCTCTTAACCCTTCGTCAAAGACGGCCTGGTTGAGGCGTCCCGCCAGCCGCCGCCTCCACCGCCACCTGTGTAGTTTAGTCTCCTATCTGATATGCCTCGTCGTTCCCTATTTACCACTCACGCTTCAATCGCCATTCTCCTCACGATCCAATTTGTCGTTTCGTATCATGGGTGAACTGGACCAAAAAACAAGTCAGTTGTATAACCCAATCAGCGTGTGAGATGACTGTAAATGTGGTTGACGTCTCTCCACCTGTTTAAGACATTAATATGAGAGGAGTTTGATGGAGATGAAGCCAGGGTGATGCTGGGGACCGCAGGAACACCATCTCTCTCTCTCTATCTCCTGCTGGTGAGCATCACATCTCCCGACGGGTGAGTGGGTCTGACGGTGATGCTTCTACCTTAAGATGGTGGGAGGCTGGAGTTTCTGGTGCCTAAATGGTATATAGTCTCTTGGGACGGCGCCCTCCGCTGTTTGACTGGTTGCTACTGCTTCTGCTGTGTCGACTCCTGCTGTGTCGACTCCTGCGGTGTCGACTCCTGCGGTGTCGACTCCTGCGGTGTCGGCTCCTGCGGTGTCGATTCCTGCTGTGTCGGCTCCTGCGGTGTCGACTCCTGCGGTGTCGACTCCTGCGGTGTCGACTCCTTCTGTGTCGACTCCTGCTGTGTCGACTCCTGCTGTGTCTGCTGTGTTAATTCCTGCTGTGTCGGCTCCTGTGTCGACTCCTGCTGTGTCGGCTCCTGTGTCGACTCCTGCTGTGTCGGCTCCTGTGTCGACTCCTGCTGTGTGTGCTGTGTCAACTCCTGTGTGTGGTGTAGGTAAGTAA